CATTAATCATGTCATATGAGGCAGGGAAAGAAAATGATGCCTACAGTTATAATTTTATTAATGAATGAGATGAGAAATAATTTTTCATTAATTTCAAGAATAAATGCATTTCTTTTATTTATAGTTCAAAAAGTTCTGTTTGGGAAAAAAAAAAAAAAAAAAAAAAAAAACATAGAACAAACAACATTTTAAAACAATTCATAAAAAATATTATAGTAACAGCACGCTAGGAAAATGTAAAGTGAAAGAATTGAAAAGCACATTTATTGTCCATGAATCAATGCTTGCCAAACCTGCAAATAAAATGAAAGTTGCTAGCTTTGCATCGCTCAAGGTTGCAGATATACTTGCAATTGGCAAAAAAAAAAAAAAAAAAAATTGAGGATGACAACATTAATTAAGACGCAATGCTTGGTGCATCAGAAATTTTATTTCAAGAAGCTACAAATAAGAATGAAATTATGTTAGCTATCCAAGATGGCCAACTTTCCACAAATTTTGTCACTCACAGAATAGAAGCCATGTCTAAAAATGTCAGAGGACATGTAAAAGATGGTTTACAAAAATGTGTTTTCTTTAGCTTACAGTGTGATGAATCAGCAGATATCTGCAATGAATTTCAAGTAAATAGTTTTATAAAGATGGTCTTTTTAACGATTGCCTAATGAAAAAAGATATATTGCCAGTTCTGCCATTAAAACACAACAATACAGGTGGAGCAGATATATACCAAGCTCTTAAAAACCATATAACTATAATTAATCTTCTGCTTCAAAAACCTGGGACCATAAGGGCATACCTGCCATGATTGATATTTGCTGTTGGTTTTAATCACATTATGTAAGAATGACTACTGCCTTTCTAAAGCATTTTAACCACTACTGCACCATCAGCAGTAGACATTATGGACAAAAGTTTTACATTACATGAAAGAAGTTGTTAGAAAATTTGTAAATTCTATTTGTGCCAGATTACTTTGGAATAAATTGTTCAGAGTACTCTACGATGAACTTGATGCTGAATATGGAACTTTAACGTTACATCCTGAAATTAGATGGCTTAGTAACACAAAAAAAAAGCACAACAATTTTTAGAGGTTTTTCCACAAATAAAACAGAAACAAAACTTCTAAAGAACTTAGTAATCATAACTGGTTATTGGATTCAGGCTTTCTTACAGACATAACAAACAAAAATAAAATAAATCTTAAACTTCAGGGCAAGGAAAAGACTATTATTGAATTAACAGGAAGTATAAATGCATGCAAATCAAAATTAAATACCGTAAATATAATTCACAAATGAAAGAAATGTAACTTGTACAGTTACAATTAATCTGGAAACTGAATTTAAGTCCTACAACCCTACTAGAATTATCACTATGTCCGAAACAATATGACAAAGACTTGTGAAGGTTTTAAATAATCTTTTTTATTTAATCTTTAACTTGTAACATAAAAGGCTTCTGAAACCTGCTTTAAAATAATTTTGAAATTAAAATTTCTGATTGTCACAAAATTCAGTCCATTGCTTCATACACTTTAAGTCCATTTGTACTAATACATCTGAATATCCGTACTAATATTTCTGAAATATCGCAACAGATAACAAATATGTTAAATAAAAATTCTGGAAAATGGAAGCACTTGATTTTTCAGTCTAATTTACAATTAAAAACAAGAATATTATAAACAGATATTTGGATGCTCATAGATGAAAAAAATATTAACTCTTAAAAAAAGTTTCAAGGACTTAAGTTCCTATTTTGGATCAACTTACCACTGCCAAAATGGTTTGATCAACTTACCACTGCAAAAAACTTGTTATGATCAAAGTTCAGATCTAGGATGACAAATGAATATCTGAATGACTGCATGAATTCAGCCATAACATCATATGCAACAAAGTACAGATAGTGTCAGGTTTCACATTAAAATATGCTTTTAATATATTTAATTTGTATCTTACTGAATTTTCAATATATGGCAACATGTTGTATTTTTTATAGTTTTATTCAGAAATCATCCATTTATATCAGGCCACTCGCCAAAAAAGAAAACATTAAATGCAAAATTACCTCACGAAAGTGTTGAAAACACTTCAATATTACAGCACTAAAATCTTCACAAAACCAAAAAATTAAGACATAAATTAAAGTCTTAAAAAATCCTCATTGGCAAAACTATTATGTGCTCAGGACATAAAAGCCTTGGCCATCCAGTACAGCTGGAGAAATCACCACTATGTTGCAACTTAGAATCTAGGTCTGGACAGACGAGCAAGTGCTGCTTATTCATAGCATCTGTTTTATAAATAGGGCATTGGCTTTCAGTGAATAAGCCTATTCTACTGAGATGTTCAGCTAAAGCAGTCGTGCCCGGTGCGCGGTGTGAAATTAGCCAATTGGAGGGTGTAAGATTACTGTGTCTGTGACAGTCTTAAATTCACACGTGCCCCCTGGATGGTGCTAAATAAGTAACAGTTAGAGGCTATGGCTGCTTGCTTTCAAAAGTTGCTTCGGCGACATAAATCATATAGTAAATATAAAGAGTACATAATTACACTTTTTCTTTAATAACATGTTATGCCACACATTTTTATAATTTATGTATTATACATATTTAAAATTGAAATATTAAAAGTGCTATATATAATTGTGGCTGGCCAAAATTTTCAAATTGGCATTCACCAAGTTAAAGGTTGGGCACCACTGTCTTAAATCTTTCCAGAGGTTATGTAAAATTAACCTGCAGTTCATGAAAGACGTCTATTGGTAATATTTTCCAGCTTATAAAAAAATCCAAAGTAAAAAAATTATTAGCAATTATTTTATGCAGGGAATGCAGTTATTTACTATTATTAATTTACATGCAGTTATTTACTATTACAGTCAAAAGTCTTTAATCCGGACGTCCATAATCCGGAATGATCTATAATCCGGATTTCAAAGCTACAAACTTTTTGCGCATGCGTAAATGCATAATGCGTTTATGCATGGGTATAATACCTTTAGGCTTGCACATATGCGTTTACGCATGCGCGTAATACGTTTACGTATGTGCGTTTAATGTATAACGGACGGTATAAGCTAAGCTAAAATTATCTAATTATCTATTTCAGTTAATGTTGCAGATTGTGTTCTTTTTTAATCTTCTAATTGGATCCGGCTTATTATTTTTTGCAGACTGTTAGAGCAATTTTATAAAAGCAAGCTTGAACTTTGGATTATGTCAAAAAGAATTTCCGATTCTAGAACTGCCAAAGGATCTACAAAGCAAAAGCATGTTTCGATGTCCATCAAACAAAAAGTGGAATTGCTGCAAAAAATGGATAAAGGCATATCCTTTGTTTCTCTAACCATTCCGAAATCTGTTTATCAATTTCATGCTACTCTGCGGGGGGAGGGGGGGCATCGCACAATGAACTGGAAGTTGATCTGTCAGCACTATCCTCATCTTCAGGGCAGATGTTTTTATTTTATTCGGCTTATAATTCCTTACTAAATGTAGTATTTCATCTCAATGTACTCCATCTTTGATATGATTTAAATCAAATTCCTCGTCATTATAAATATCACGAATACACATCAAATAGTTTTCTGGTCGCAATTTTCTAATTTCGACTACGTGTAATGTATGCTTTACGCATGCGCACATTGAAAGAAATGCTTAATAAAGTAAACAAATACATATTAAGCTTTTTTTTTGTGTGTATATTTTGATATCCTTTAGATTATAATTGCTCTTTATTTCATAAATTATGGTTTCATATTTTTAATTTTATAATTTCTGCATGTCATCTTACCAGATTTAAATTGATCATCTATAATCCAGAAAAAACAAATAATACGGAATCGCCGAAGTCCTGACGAGTCCAGATTAAAGACTTTTGACTGTATTAATTTTGAAAATTCATACAGATTTAGGGTAGCACGTGAAATATTTTTCATTACAAACAAAGAACTGTTTCCAGCTGGATAGAAAAAGATGACAATCTAAGTTAATCAAATAAATATATTATCATATTTCACATCAGCTAAATAATAAATCTCAAATTTTTTTAACAGCAGGGAAAAACTACACAAGGGAATTGCAGATATGACCCTGCTGGATTCTAGTCTCTGAAATGTGAACTTAACTGTACTATGCACCACCTCCAATCTTTCAGCTATGCTCATTTTCTTCTCAATTAATTATGAGTAACAAATATGTATATTATTACTATAGATTTGAATTTTGTATGTATCATGTCATTCTTATTTTCAGCAACTTTTTTAACACAGGACAGCTTACAAAAATAGCATTATGCAAATTAATATTAATTACTTGACATCATTTCAATGTATGAAAAGTTACACAGAAATTGTCTACTTGCATTAAATGGTCAAAATCTGCACTATATTGCTAATAAGAAAAACATTTTTAAAAAGGAAAAGAATTTTTCTATTAATGGGATGCCAGTTTCTAAATACGCACATACATGTTAGTATGGTAGTTTGTTTATATCATGTCATGAATAGCTGTGCAATGTAATAACTACATGCATGCTTTCAAAATGTTACAGGAATACAGTTGGAGAAAGAAAAAGAAACACAAGACTACATGTTAGAAAGGACAAAGCAGAAGAATATGTATGCATATTAGATGCTAGATTCAATATAGTGACGTTATGGTTTATTTCCATTTTTGGATTAAGAGCTTTACTTTCTATTGCTTTATCATTTTGATTGCATATATGACATTAGTTTCATTTTTTCCATTATATAAATCATAAATGCTATATAAAAAGCATATGAGCGGCATTAATTTTGAAATGTTGCAGTTCAGAAAGAATTATAAGAATATTACTATTTATAGGATAAAAAAATTAATTAAAAAGATTTAAGGAGTGTTACACAAACTAGACTCAGAATTTTATCTTACATAAATTTGTAACAAAAATAAGAAATATAGTGGAAATACAATTTGAAAATAATTATAATAAAATACTTTAATTACTTACAGGTACATGCGCAACTTGAGAAAGACCCAAAACATACATAAGACACATTGCCTAAAACAAAAATATTAAATATTTACACAACAGAAATAAATTACCTATATGGAAGTACATACTTAAACACTTATTAAATGGACATACATTATTAAAATAAAGAATGTACATGCAGTTATTTCTTACTTTTAGACAACTTTGATGTTTCTAAAAATATCTCAGCACATTATATAAATTTATGTTCAAAATTGAAAAAAAAAATGGATTTGCAGTATATATTTAATTTTTAAATTGCCTAAAAAGGAAACTGCATTTTTTGGTAAAATATATTTATATTCTTAATAATTAGGCCACCTACTCTGAGTTAGTTAGGAATTAATCTCTAAACTGAGGTGCTGTTGAATGCTCAGCAGTTTTGTAATGCAATATTCACGTTGTAGTCAAAGAGAATTGCAGTGCTATCTTTTGTTCTTCTTCAGCTATTTTTAACTGATATCATTCATTTGTAAAAATTATAATTTAAAGCTGGAATAAAAATTGAAGTTTTCCCTTCATCTAGCTTGCTTATTCTGGAGATTTCTTATAAACTGTTAAACACAAAAGAATTTTATTGTTCATACTTCATTTTGCTTTCAGTGATACAGAATGTTGATTTTTAGTACTAGAGTTTTTCACCAACTATACCATAAAATGCTTGGAATACAAAAGAAAGTTAACAATTAGAAATACAGTGAAAATTGTTTAACATGAAACTGAGGGGACTGAAATATTTTTTCGCGTTAAAGTATATTTAAAAAAAAAAAAAGTATTCAACAAAATTAAGTTTATTAAAGTACATTTTATTTACATAGATATGCATATATGCATATATTTAATAAAAATCAATGAAACAAAAAAACATCCACAAGACCTAAATTAAATTTAACGCAAATTTTTAAGGTTTTTTTTTTTTTTTTTTTTTTTTTTTTTTTGAAAAACAAAACATGTATTGAGTTTTTGGAAAATAATCTGATATTTTTCTTTGCATTGTCTTTTTTAGCAACAAATTGTTAGCAAATTGTTCAATGTCGTCCATTTTGTTATTCATTTCCCCATTGGAATGTGCGTCTAAATAACAGCGCATACTTTTTATGATGTTCCTCACTTTCGATGACTTGGGAACAGGAGCTGCATTATTCATTTCAATGTCATCATCAGAATCTGCATTAATGATATTTTTTTAGCTTTGAACACAAGCTCCAAAATGTCTTTGTCTGCCATAAATTGGCTCTGTACATACATTATCATCAACTACTGCAGCAAATTCTTCCGATAATACAGTAGGACAGTCCATTAATACAGAATGCCTAAGCTCTTTTCCTTCTTTTCACAAGAAGGAAGCGCCACTAATGTTATGTTATGTTATTAATCCAGAAACTTTCTCAAACATTCCATTGTGTTGGCTCAGTTTCAGTATTGCTCTGTTTCTTTCGGGGCCAAAGAATCTGATATTTCTGAGAATTGTACATGACAAAAACAATTTTCATTCATTCTTGGAGTCACTGAATGCCATGCAGAGTGCAACATACGAACCAAACTCACTAATTTTTACTCACACTACGATGTACTCGTCACCGAATTCCAAAGCCAATTGATGAGAGATGAAATGTTTGTGTGGCATTTGCAGGAGTGAAAGGTGAAAGTAGCTTAGATAAGCAAAACTGGCTCGTGTCGCAGGCTATTCCAAGGGTATTTCAAAGACAAGTTAGTCTTTCTACAAAACATGTAAAATCGCCTCTCCTTCATTTCACACCCTGCTTAAATTTCGCCTGCGATGCTGGTGTTTTCCATATTTTGTCCATTCCCAGAAAGGATATATTTTCGTGTTAAGCGATTTTTATTTTGTTGTTAGGAGAAACAAAATGCATGAAAATACAATAGTGGTTTGTTGGAACCATTGTATTATTTCGTGTTAATTGATATTTTGTCTTGAGTGTTTTCGCGTTAAAACGTATTTCACAGTATAAAATAATCATGTAAATAAGAATTATATGCTTATTACAATCTAATTGCTTCCGAAAGATAATTAAAGCATAATAGTCAAAGAAGCTTGCTAATCTATCAATAAAAATATCCATCAGCTCGCTAATCTATCAATTAAAAATATCCATCAGGGTGCTAATGTCGACAGCATAAAACATTTTCATATTTTCTAATCATGAAATGAACATTATTCAGTAATTGTTAGCACTGAATTATTGCATTCACTTTCACTATTATTTCAGTTCACTTAAAACTTTCCTTTAATACCAGTTAAAGTTAATTCCTTTAAAAATAGTGTAGTAGAATGCATTTAAGAAAAATCAAATTAAATACAGAGTTAATTTTTTTCTCTTACATGTGTCTATTAATAATAACAATATAATTTACACTTTTTCTACTTAAAAAAGTGTTGATACTAATTTTTAATTAGAAATAAATATACTTACCAAATATAATACAAAACATACGTAAAATAGTATATATAGAGCCAAGCCGAAGTACACAGCCCAGTGATCTGGCAGATTGTCACGAGCAAATGTATCAACAAAGTAAAGGTTAATCCCTATTACAAGTACTCCCAACAGACTGATAACAATTTTGCTCAAACTAAAGATAAAAAAGATACATTATGTTATTAATAATTAGAAAAACTTTTAACACACACACTAACCAACAAACCAGAAAAAAAAAAAAAAAAAAAAAGCTCTTGATACTGAAAGCATAACATAATTTAAATCTTAATCTCCTTTTGAAAGTAAATCCAAAAGCAAAGAACACATTCTAATATTTAAAACATGAATGCACTTTTTTTCTTTTCTTTTATTTTTTCCCTAATTGAAATTCTTGGCCGAAAAAGCATTTAAAAATTGTATAACATCTCCAAAAAATGAAATACATATACATTTTACATTTTTTCAGGTATACAATCAGAATTTACTAGCGAGATTTTAGACATAGCTTTGTTCCCATGTACAGGGTGTTTAAAAAAGAATCATCCGATTTAAAAAAATTATAACTATTCAGCTTTTAATCCATTTTAATCGAATAATGGTTAGGTAGAAAGAGGAAATTTCAAAATTCATGCATTTGGCAAAAGATAGCACTAACACTCTTCCTTGGACCCCACTTCAGTAACTGTCTAGAAGGCAAATGTGCAAGAGAAATAATTTTGCAAAATGAGAGGCTGGCAACAACTATTCAATGGGATTTTCGCCAACAGTCTCATAGTGTTGAACAACCAAACGCTCAAAGCATTATGTGATGGTATAAACAATTCCAAGACACCAGTTGTCTGTGTAAAAGGAAATCACCTGGCTGTCCCCACATTAGACAAAAATGTGGAGTGCATATGACAGAATTTTGCCTATAGTCCAAAGAAACCTTTAATTGAACATCTTCAATTTGATTTGTAAAAACAAATTATGATTAGTCATATAACATAAAATTAATCTTAAGTTTCTAGGTTAAATATTTTTCATAAAATGTACACTGAGCCAAAAAAAAGGGGGGGACAGTTCTATATCTCCCATTCTACTGGGCCGATTGACGAAATTCAACTTGCGTTTTTCATGTCTCAAAAGCGCGACTTAAGATATGTATTAGATTTATTTATAACATTGTTCTAATATAGATATTTTGACACAAAATCGGACTTTTCCTGAAATAACGTACCAATTTTTTTTCCATATTTCGATTCTACGACTCAAATTAAGCCAAATTATTAAGTTCTGTAAAAATTGTAGGAGTAGTTTTTAAAAAATTAGCTCTCAAAATTTTAGCTCCTCAATGTTAATTGAGTTTGGTATATATTTAGATGCACTAACTAACTAGTTTATTAAAAAAATATCTCTTTTTTTTATTAAACTTATTTGATTCTTCCTTTCACATTTTGAAATTCAGGTTCATTTCAAATAAAATTCACCCATTTTTTTACGATTTATTTTTGAAATTTTTATTTTTAGATAATTTTTATAATTTTTTTAAACAAAATTTTGAATTATAATGTATAAAAATTTTACCATCATCTTAAAGACATATTTCTAAGCATACCTGCAATAAATTACAATTTTTCATTCAAAATTTCTGAAGATATATGTAAATTTACATATTGGCCCATTTTGAAATTTGGCATATTTGTTGAAAGCGATAAAACATCAAATGTGGTTTAGACACTTTACTTGGTTTATTAGATTATAGCAAAGCACTCGAGGGCTATCTGCCTTACGGGAGAGATGCCTTTGTGGAGGACTTTTTAAGGGAAACTGGCTCGTATACACGTTACACATGGGGAAAAGCGCGAAAACACCCATGCAGCCAGCCCGTTTGTGGAATTCGAACCTCAGACCGAACTACTGGTGTTCAGCAACGTTGCCGCTCGGACACTGGTGGGCCCTAGACACTTTACTAAAATTATTTGGAAGTAGAAATGAAGTGACTTTTTTTTCCACTTATGCACAATGTAAAAAGGTAGGAATGAGGTGCCTTTTTTTCTCCTCCGGCATAATGGAAGGGAAAGGAAAATTGGTTGCCACATGAAAAGAAGTTCGCTAAGTGAATTATTCTTGTCGCAAACTGAAGAAATCCTGGAAGATAAATTTTCGAATTTCTCCATACATTTCGCTACAAAATTTAATATCTAGGCATAATTTGAGTCGTAGAATCGAAATATGGAAAAACATTCGTATGTTATTTCAGAAAAAGTCCAATTTTGTGTCAAAATACCTATGTTAGAACGATGCTATATATAAATCTAATACATATCCTAAGTCACGCTTTCGAGACATGAAAAATGCAAGTTGAATTTTGTCAATTGGCAAAGTAGAATGGGATATAGAACTGCCCTCCATTTTTTAACCCCCTATACTTTTTACAATTAGATATTAAACACATCTTAGGATTTATGGGATCTAGTAACTAAATATAAAGACGACTGTGATCATTTTACAATATTAATACTTGACATTAAATTTTTATTTTTGATGTAATTTGACAAAAATGGTTTAACTATATTCTTCAAAATTTAAATTAATAAAAATTGATTTAAAATCACAAACATATAAGTAAACTAAACTTGGTAGTGCAACAACCCTATTGGGCCATAGCCTGCCAGTGGCCCGAAATCTGCGCTTTCTTGACCTTGGGCCCCGGGGTGTGCCAGCATATTATGCCCTGGATAAGTGGTCAGCTTGTTGCAGGCCCCCCGGTGTTTAGTCCTTAAATGAACTTGGTACTCATTTTATCGACTCACTCAAGGGATGAAAGGCTGAGTCAACCTTGCCCGGCCAGCGGATCAAACCCTGGATCTGTGGTGCAGCTGTGCGATGCGTTAGCCACTGCGCCATTGGGCTTCACAAATATAAGCAGCTATACCTTTTACTTTGTCAAATATCTTTAAAACCTTGTTTTTCTATTATTTAGAAATCACTACAAAATTACAGTACGTGTACAGAAAACTATAGAATATAAAACATAAAAGATCAAATTATATTCACTAGGAAATATTATTGCTCTTAAAATTAATGACATATTAATAACTATATGGATAACAAATATAATGGAACATACATTCCATTTTGAAAGTCCCCCATCACACTTCTAGAAGATGTGAAAATTAAAGTAGGCAAAAGAGCAAATGGAAGTTGCATTGACATGAGGGCATTTAACAGATCATTCATCCCACTCAGATCTTGAATGTCTTTGTACACTGCAATGAAGAGGGTGGGGAAAATTGCAATTATCCGGGTCAACAAAACTCTCTTCCAACGAGACCATTTGAGATTCAGAAAACCCTAGGTGATATCAATAGAGAATTAGTAATTTAATTCGTGTTATTAAAACTACAGTATCCTAAATACAAACTACTCTTCATTACATAACAGATGCTTAAGAAAATTAGGAAATTAATTTTGATTTATGACACACAACACTTAAATTTTAGTCACTGCATGAATTTTGTTTACATATTATATTTTGAAGTTAAATAAAATATAGATTCACTTAGCATTGAAACATAGCAGAGATCAAACTAAACACTCTGACTGCTGATAAACTTTATACCTGCTAAAGAATTTTAGCTTTAGATATGAAACAGCAAAATGCATGAGTATGCAGCAAATAAAATTTCAAATTAAATAATGCTTCAGGACATTTTTTACAGATGTCCGTATCTAGAACAGTGACAGCTATCAGTTCATTCAATCATTGTATCAGTACAGTACTGAAATATCAGAAATAATTTTCTAAAATATGTAACATTTGTAATAATGAAATAAAAATGCATATTAATTAGCATCTCTCCAAACAGTTGAAAACCCAAAGCCCATTTTCCATTAAGAATCAATAACTTCATGATCCTTAATGGAAAATTCAGTGCATGAGAGAATATTTATATTGACAAATTGATTTCCTAATTTCATTTATCAGCACAAGAAGGTATGAGAACGACTCCAAATTTATGAATCTAGAGGGGAAGAAAGAAAGGGGGAAAACAAGAGCTTTCCATACTTAAAAAAACGAAGAATTCTATATGAAGAAATAAAAACTTTTATAGAAAATGTCTTCATAAAGCTTTCATTTCCCTTTTTCACAAGAAATATTCCAGAGATAGTTTTGTTGCTTTCCTTACCAGTTCTACAATATTCTAAATTTAAAGAAATTAATTAAAGCAATGGATTGTTCTCCTGAATAGGAGTTTCATCTTTAGCAAGCTTCTGAACTGCAATTCAAGCTACAAATGACACAACACATATTCTGTGAAGATTCAAATTAGTCATTATATCAAAAATGATAACACATTGTTAGATCATGGATGACTTCCAGAAACAATGTAATAAAATGAAATGAAAGAAAATCTTCGATAGCAGCTACTTCTAGATGGCTACTCCATTGCCACACCATTTCTTCTATGGCCACTCCATATTTATCTTCTTCTATACTATTAAAATCTGTGCGCGTCTGTCTGTGTGTTTGTAACATCATCTCCTCGGGAACGGCCGGGTGCAGAACTTAGCGGAAGGTACCGTTGGATTCGGAACGTCCGTGGCTCGCCATTATTGACCATTCGGCATCTTCGTGCGACTTTCATTAGCCGAGATATTAATTAAAAACTAACTTTTTCCCTACGTTTCCCTACGTTTTGCACTTTCTTTCACGGGTTTTCCCTATTTTAGGGATTTGGCTGAGTGCCAAATTCGTTTTTTTTCTGTCGAATATCTACGGGAACGGACGCAGGAGTTGGAATTTCGAAACGCATATCACCTATATTCCGAAAAAAAAAATCAACTGAATCCATTCGATACCGGTCCCATCTTTCGTAACGACAAAAATTCAGCGGAGTTATTAATTAAAAACTGCGAAAACGTTAATTTGTGCGCTCATTCTTCCGGAGTGGCAACAAGTCATCCGGAATTAGCTGAGATAAAAATTGCTTTTTCGGAAGCGATAGGGGGGGGGAGAAACAGCTGGCATCCGCTCAAGCGTTGGTGTTGGCCAAAAAGGTCAAAGTTCACGGATTTAAACCACGTGGAAAATTCATTTAAAAATTAATAATCTTTTGCTTCTAATTAACTTATGGACTTGAAACAAGTATCAACATTTAAATTGTTGCGATATGTTTAATGATTTGCTTCCTATTTTTTTAAAGATCTATTCATTCGTGTTGTATGTTTCTGTTAATGTTCCTTTAAATATTACATTCACGGTTTATACAATTTCAATTTTGTGTGTGATAAAATAAAACAATAAATAGAAACTGTCTCTTCATTTAGTTGTTGCGAATTGATTGCAGGTTGGTTTATCCCATTGATAAGTGGATTAATCTGCAATAAATGAAAAATATCTTTTTGTTTTCCAATGTTTAAAATTTATTTTTGATTTTTTTTTTAGATTAAACGTTTTCTATGTAGATATTTAAACAAGAAGTTAAAATTACTAGATTTTTTTAGATTAAACATTTTCTATGCAGATATTTAAACAAAGAAGTTGAAATTACTATTTAAAATACTAGATTAAATTTTCACTAAAAATGATCTTTTCGTTCAGGGATTTAAATTGAATATGTTTTTCTTGGAGATGGTATATGAAAACTTTTCTTATTATAATTAATGAATTATTTATTGCATTAATGTATATATTGATACAGTTTTGTGTGTGATCATATTGAAGTTTATAAAATAAAAAGAATTTTAATAACGAATCTACTGTTTGAATAATAAATGCGAAAATTTACGCGGTTACACTTTCTACAACAGCCCATTTAGCGGCTGAACGGTAAAGTCACTGAACACTGGTAGTTAGGTCAAGTTTCAAATCCCGGCGAACGGCCTGGCTGCATGGGTGTTTTCGTGAATTTCCGGTTGTGTATATTGTATGCAGTATCTTCTGGATGCATACGTGAATAAAGCGGGCGCAGCCTGATCAAAACAGGTGAACACTGGTAGTTTGGTCCAACTTTGGAATACCGGCGAACACGGGCTGGGTGCATGAGTATTGTGATTTTCTGCATGTGTAACGTGTATGCAGTATCTTATGCATGCATATGTTAATAAAGCGGGCGCATCCCAGGTAAAATCGATGTACACTGGTAGGTCGGTCCAACTTTGGAATCCCGCTGAACGGCATACCTCCATAGATTTTTTCATGATTTTACTCATGTGTATTTTGTATGCGGTATCTCCTGTATGCATAAGCGAATAAAGCGGGCGCAGCCCGCCTAAAACCGCTGAACACTGGCAGTTCAGTCCAATTTTCGAATCCAGACGAACAGGCCGGCACCATAGGTGTTCACGTGATTTTACGCATGTGTAATGTGTATGCAGTACCTCATGGAAGCATTTATGAATAAGACAGACGCAGCCGCACAAAACCGTTGAACACTGGTAGTATGGTCAAACTTTCGAATACCAGCGAATGGGCTGCCTGTATGAATGTTTTCGTGATTTTCCGGATGTGTAACGTTTATGAAGTATCTTGTGGATGCATATGTGAATAAAGTGGGTGGAGAACACTGGTAGTTCGGATCAAATTTCTAATCCAATCGTACGGGCTGGCTCCATGGGTTTTTTCGTGATTTTGCGCATGTGTATCGAGTAAACAGTATCTTCTGAATGCATATGTAACCAAAGCGGGCGCAGCCCGAAAAAAACCGCTGAACACTGGTAGTTCGGTCCGACTTTCGAATTCCGGCGAGCGGGCTGGCTGCATGAGAGTTTTCGTGATTTTCCGCATGTGTATCGTCTATGCAGTGTCTTCAGGATGCATATGTGAATAAAGCGCGCGCAAGAAGCGCAAAACCGCTGAACACTGGTAGTTCGCTCCAAGTTTCGATCCTGGCGAACGGGTTGCCTCCATGTATGTTTTCATGATTTTCCGCATCTCTGGACAGAATGCTGGATCAAGAGTTTTCATTCCACGTGTTGAACTTTCACCTTCAGATTCAAACCTCCCCTTTCAGCTCAAGCGAAGACAGTTTCCTATCAGGCTTGCATTTTGTATGACTATTAATAAGTCACAGGGACAGACGCTTAAGAAAGTTGGGAATTTATTTACCGCAACCGGTTTTCAGTCATGGAATGCTTTACGTAGCTTTTTCAAGATGTTCGTCTATGAGGAATGTTTCGTGTTTTAGTGAAAGACACCAAGAAGCAAGGCCGTTTGATACCCTGGATGTTCTAAAGTATTCACAAGAAATATTGTTTACAGAGAGGTTCTGCAGTAAAAAAAAAAAAAAAAAAAAAAAAAAAAAAATCCTCAACACTGTGAAGATGAAACATTGAGATTTTTGCAACACAAATTGAAGTGAATCAAGCCAACGTAAAACAGAAAAAGTTTGAGATTTTTGGATGATTAGGATAAACTGAAGCAAGTCAAGATGAAGCTGAAACAGTTTGAGAATTATGCATTAGTCGGTTTTAGGTCTGTCATTACAAAGTAGAATTTGGAGTTGTATTATTTTTTCAATGTTGTAAATATTTTTTATAAATTTTCCTTTTCAGGTCTACATGCAACTGCGGTCATTAATTTTAAAAAGTTTTATGTATTTTCTTTTTTAGGTACTTATGGAACTGATTTCAATCACATAAAAATATTTTTTTCAGGTGTATATAGAAATGATTTGATTTAAATTAAAATGTTTTTATACGTTTCTTTTCAGATGTTCATAGGTATTTATGGAACTGATTTCAATCACATAAACATCCACACCAACTTGTAAATACTTCTTTTTCAGGTGTATATAGAAATGATTTCATTCAAATTAAAGTGTTTTTATACATTTCTTTTCAGGTGTACATAGAACATGTAAATTTTTCTTTTCAGATTACAAATTTCAAATGCTTTTTCTGATTCATTTCATGCATTTTTTTTAAAAACGCACACACGAATATATATCTATCCTAATCGTGTATGTGTGTGTATATATATAATTGCATGAATATATATATTTATATATATTGATGCAATTTTGTCTGTCATTGATGCGGATTGTAACGACAAAAAGGAAATGAATAATGTAGTTCTTGTGGATGTTTTAGTTTCATTGATTTTTTTTATTAATTACATGCCCATATGCATATCTATGTAAATAAAATGTACTCTAATAAACTTAATTTTGTTGAAAATATGTTTTTTTTCTTTCAATATCCTTCAACACGAAAAAATATTTCAGTCCTTTCAGTTTCATGTTAAACAATTTTCATTGTACAGTACAAGTCTTTAATCCATGCGTCCATAACGGCACAGCAATTACAGAACTTGAACAGCGGAACTTTGTAACTGAACAAGAAATTATGTATGTTTATAGAATTAAAGAGAAAGTATTAGCACATAAAACAAAGCAAATTAAACAACTTATATTGAAAGAAAGAAATATTTAATAAAGTAAAAAAATAAATATTAAGCAGTTTTTTTGGGGGGGGCAAATTTTGATACCCTTTATATCATAATTTCTCTTTATTTCATATAAATTATGGTTTCATATTTTGCATTTTTAATTGTCACAATTTCTGCATGCCATCTTACCAGATTTAAAATTGA